TTTTAGTAAAAATTGGCTTCTGCTATGTTGAACCCTTAACAGCAACAACAGCAGGTAAACAAGAACAATGCTTCTGGAACTTGCCTTAAAGACCTCACACTTGGAGCAGCACAGAGAAACTTGACTTTGCTATCTGTGCTGACAGATGCATTCAATGGGTCAAGAAAATGTTAAATCTTTGAGATTATCATCCCAGCACTATTTCACACTCTGGAATTACTGAAGAAACAAGCATATGAAAAGGAGGCTCTCGGGTAAAGCCAACCAAAAAAGTGGGGAAAAAACAAGGTATAGCATCCAAAACAGTTTAATACCTAGAATGTCCTATAGAACAAACACATCAGCTCAAAGTTTCGGTATTCCACTGGCTCAGCTGCAAACCATACATAACAATAAATATTTATTGAAATATCAAATACTGAGGCATTCAGGGGAGGACACAAGATAACTTCCTAAGTATCAAATGATATTTGGGCACAGGGTTTTTAAATCCTGAAAATGATTTAAAACACATGTTGCTCGAGAAGATATGACAGGCTGTACTTTGAACAAGACAGTCTGTGGCATGAATAGAATGCACCTAGTAAAGATGTACATTAATAAATGGCACTAGTAAAGTGTAAAAATAAGCTAAAGGGAGTAATATGAAGGAAATCAATAAAATTACAAAGGGAAAAGCAGAGAAAGTTTAGCACAGAATGGAGCTCTACATTGTTGAAGAGAGGATCCCATCACTGACTGCCAGCATGAAAGAAACAAAACCAACAGGAAGGAAACAGCAGTCAAGGAAAGTAATTGCAGGGTGTTCATCTCCTCATCTCAGACCCATTTGAACAGATCAGCGTGATGAGTGCACTGCCAAATAACACGTTCTTCCACTGCAGAAATATCTAGGATGTACAAGTCCTGCCGCATGAGACATTCTAACACATTTCCCACAGCCTGTATCACAGAACTTGAAGAATGTCAAAGGGAAGATATCTCCCTCCTGCCCAACCAAAGCTGCAGTAACAAGACATCCATTTCAGAGAAAGCTACCAACTGCTGACTCAGGGCTGCATAAGCAGTTCCACAGACTGCAGGTGTAACTGATTACTTACTCTTGAAGAGCAGTATCTTACAATTACCACCCCTCCTCACATTTACTATTAAAGCAGTCTAAACCATTCTAGCAGCAAAGCCTGTCCCATCTGGCATGAAGATTTTAAGTCAGTCAACCAGAGAGGCATCCTGACACAGAGCATCAGAAATAATGATCCAACACAAGAAGCAGAGGAATTTGGCTACAACTTAGCAGTTTGCTTAATGTGTCTCATTTTAAAATTCCTAAATTTATTTTCTTAGCTCTATGAGCTTTGAATTGTTTATGCTAAGAAAAAAGACTGTTCATGGAAAAATTTTGTATTAAATCACACAAATATTTAAAGAAAAAACATTTCACCTCTTTGCTGCCTAAACTTTAAATCTTTGTGAATACTGTGTTATTACATGAAACCGCAGACAGACAATAAGCCACAATCATGATGCAACTAGGAGAGGACTACTATGAATCCTTCCTATAGTTTCAATACCTCTGAGGAAAGAGCAAAGAGGTGAGACACAAAGACAAAAGCTTGGAGATGTTGCCTCTCTCGGCTTCGTTTCAGTCTTTAGCCAAAATCACTTCCACGCACGCTGTCACACACGTCACACGATCCTCCCTTCCACAGTCCCCAGCCCATCACACACACAGTCATAGAGGGTAAGATTTGGAAACCCTTCAGAATGACACACATCTACAGGGTTCACCTTTTTCTCAGGTGTTATCCACCATTACTTATAAATGTGGATACAACAGTATAAAGACTTCAAGTTATTATACCTAGAACTTGAATAATCATCCTTTTTTTCCTCAAGACTTCTTTTCCAAAATTCCCAATACTTCAAGCTTTCCATAAACACATGTAATTCCAAGTTCTTATTAGATTAACTGCAAAAAAATAGTCTTTAAGGAACAAAAAATGCCTTACTTTTATTGATGACTATTTCTGCTTGCGATCTCGCTTCTGCACTGAATATTTGGAGGCCACAACTTAATTTTGAGGGCAATTAAATTAAAAATCCTTTAAGGAATGAGTTCACTTATGATGCGGTTGCAAGTGATGTGTATAGTTCAGTTGGAAGTAAATTGTATTACCAGTGCTGAATGCCATAGGAAAACGTGAATGCCTAATTATGGCTTTTGAAGACTACCTGCACTGTGATTTTCAGCTAGACTAGAATTTTAAATTTATAGTTTATATAAGAGAATACTCCAGAAGTAAATAAGATCTTATGTTATTTTCTAAAGTTAACTTGTAGCTGAGGAAGACACCTTGAATATCTCTAGGTCCTTTCCTAAGAAATCCAGATGTTAATTACTAATTACTATGCAACTTCCATAAACACTGTATCAGTACCTTTCATAAGTCAATCTTATATTTGAAATACATTCTTTTGAACACCTAATTTGTATTTCCAATGCTAGCCTACACTTATCTAACTTGGTATTACACTAGTGCTAGTCTTAAATTATGTATTTATACACCTAGAAAACTGAAATACAAGATTAATTCTGTGTGTGACTAAACCAAATACAAGAAACTGGAAAGTTAAGGCACATAAGCATGTCCTAAAAAGAAGCAGAGTGATAATGATAACTACCCAGGTAGAATGTGATCATTCCAGGTATTTCATAACCACCACATCATAAAAGAGCCTTTCAGCTGGAACAAGAGCTGCAATCCCATCCAGTCCAATTCAGCACTGATGGAAACCTCAGGACCATGTTATCAGGATCACAAAACATAATTACAGGCAGAAACTTCCCCCCCCCGCGCCCCTTGGCAATCATTTAATCTCTTTGATTTCTGCTTATAAATTTCTCCATTAAACCCGCACTGGTGAGCTCTGGTGATAAAGTCTTCTGGGTTCTTTCTTCCTGCCATGCAAAAGCTGTTATTTTCTGTTCCCTCTTGAACTGCACACATGTAGTAAAAGCATAAAATATATTCACCTGTTTAGTACAGATGTTGTCTACACAGGTTGCTTATTAGAATTATGTAATTTGTCGTCCAGAAGGATACAGACCATTTCTTTACCTCAGTTTCTTGTTGTAAAAGACTCCACATTACATGCATTGGTACTTTTGAGCTGTTACACTTGTCCATTAATTTCTTTCTCCACCTTTTATTTCATACTGTCCAGTATAGATATTTACTATATTTAACTTTTAATAGGAAATGGTAGTAAAAGGAAAATTACTTGGCAAATATCTGAGTCTTGAAGATTTAAAATATTATCAGAAGCAAACTGAAGAAGTACTAATAAAAATATTAATGGAAGGGTCGATTTGGGGGTGTTTTTGGGGGGGCTTGGTTCCACCCCACCCCGCTTCCTTTCTTTCACAAACTCCCCTGTGTCTTATTATAACAATGAATTCTTCATGGATGCTATTTGTAGATTATTTTTCAGTGCTGAAAAAGCTAGCAAATACCTTGCTTCAGCTTTCTTCTCCTACCCTGCCATGCAATAGTCAATGAGTAGTAGTAAATAAAAACCACTGCACTGAAATAAAAGTATATTGAGGCCAAGGGGGAATAGACTTCAAGAGGATATAATAGAATATCTAACTGAATTTCCTATAGTAAGTCTCACACACACAAAAAAAATCCATAAACCTAAAGGATGTATTCACATGTAAGTGCATATTTACAATTTTTTTTTTTTTAAATAACTTCACAGATGGCTACAATCAGATTCTGAAATTCTTCTACATTATCCAGTATGAGGTGCACAGAAAACATAACCTTCACAAATTTCTTATGGCAAGAAATTTTCCTTGGTGTTATATTTTAGGCTTTTCTTTCTCCAGTTACAATCAAAACTGAATATCTAAGCAGTACTGTAATATGCTCTTGCTTTTTATTGATTTATATAGCAAAAACGATCATGTCATTTCAATATGAAATTGAACACGATCAGCTATACTACAGCACTTCCACAAAATCTGAGAACTCACAAACACAGCATATGAACGTTACTCAGTCTCCCTGAACAAAAAAATGGTACTAACTTAGACAAAGCCAAATATTCTAAAAGATGCAAGCTGAATTGCTCATCTACAGTTTAAAATGGCATTTAGCAGCATGTAAGTTCCTACAGCCAGAAAAGAATGCCCTTAGAAGCATGAATTGGAAGTTTCATTCAAGAAGAAAGTGATTTTGTTTGAGAACTAGAAGGAAGAGGCAACTCAAAAGTGTAACCAAATTTGCTTTGCTCTCTGCAAGAAACACAAAAACATCCAACCCCAACAAACACAAGAGTTGCAAAATAAAAACACAGCAAGACAGAAACATTAAATAAAACTAAAACAAATAAAATAAAGCAAAATATGAAAAAAGCAAGAGGGACAGAAGAAAAATTTTGAGTTAGAAAGACAAATCATGACTCAAGTTCAACCTTCCGCCCTGTTTTAAAATAAGTGAGAATTCTTAAGTATTGTAAATTATCTCCATCTTTTCTCCAGAAGGGAGCTAATATTTTGCACTGCTGTTATGTTTATTTTGTAATTTAAAGAGACATAACAAGCTAATAATATTTAGTTGTAATTACTGGAAGCAACTTGTAAAGTAATTGTGATTGTTTAAGGTCAGGCAATCCATTTCATTTTATGCATCTGACAGTCATATTTGCATTTCTTCTCTTTTATTAATTGCATACGCCCTTCCCCAAACAGTTCTGGTTTTAGGCTTTCAGTTTGCTCCCTAAGAGGTAGAAATAATTTATAATAAATACAATTTTTAGACTTTGTTACTTGGAAAAGCTCTCTCTAGGCATAGTTACAGGGTTTTTTTGATCTTTTCTTAGACTTTAATAGCACAGAAAATCCCCTAACCCAAACTTTGTCTTCCTAACTCATTGCTTTAATTTCCTTTTTTTTTTTTCTTTTTTTTTAAAAAGAAGCATTACAATCAACTTACCCTCTTTGCCTTTGAATCTTTCCTGATCGTATCTGTTGTAGGCAGCTGGAATAGGTTGCTTATTTCGTAAAGTGGGATCCTAAAACAGGTTAAATAAGATTTGTAAAACATACTAGAAGACGTGATGGTTTTTGAACTTCATCAAGTACTACATGGAACTGTTCAAAAGTATAAAACTAGTTCACTTTTGTAGGAGTTTCAATGCATTTGAAAACTTCTGATACGTTTCCCTTCAACATCCACTTGCAATCTTACAGAAATAGAGCTTAGAAGTACATGGATGTCCCCTCCCTGGAAGTGTTCAAGGCCAGGCTGGATGAGGCTTTGAGCAACCTGGTCTAGTGGAAGGTGTCCCTGCTGATGGCAGGGGGGTTGGAACTGGGTGAGCTTTAAGGTCCCTTCCAACCCAAACCATTCTATGATTCTATATTGAAAGCAGTGACAACAACCCGAGGCAAAACTAAAGTAGCAGTAACAAACTACATTAGCTAAAATCTGTGAGTTTTAGGAAATCATTGAGTTTTTGGAGTATCTCAAGAATTAGCAGGGGAAAAAACCCATCAACTGACAACTCATGATTAAGCCTTCAGCCACAATAAAAAAAATGTTCCTTGCCAGTCTGATTAAGCTAAAATTCTGCTAAGCCTATAGCATAAAAATAAGTTTGGAGGAAAAAAAAGTATTCTGGGAAAAAAGTTTATAACAAACACCAGTCTACAGGCACACTAAATACCAATTCAATCTTTTTTGTGGATGGCTTAATTATATATTCACAACTATTCTGAATGGGACATATGAATAGTTCCATGCAAAATTTCCAGAATTCAATACAAAGCAAATATTTAAATGTTAGAATTCACCTTCCTATTTAAATTTAGTTCTTCGCTGCAAAAACAAATCCAAGTATGACTAGATAGTTTTTATAGCAGACTGCCACTGAGTTCAAGACTATATTAGGTTTAATAGAACTCAATAGTAAACACCACAATACAAAACAAATCCTGTTTTAATACCTAGATAGACTTAAACAATAAAGCTCTAAGTCCTCCTGGTTTATTATAGGAAAAAGAAAGCTGGTTCAAACTGTTCCCACTCATGAGTCATGTTGCAGATTCTTAAAACATTTGCTACTCTATCTGTCAGAAAAACAGCAAAACATTTTGTTTGAAATGGCAGTAGTCTCATCTAATACATTTTTTGCAAATAGATGCAGGATGTCACTAGTGTTTGATAGATACAGAAGCTGGCACTAGCAGTTTAATCTCCAAGTAACAAGAACATATTGAACAATTTAAACTAATATATTCAATTCTGTAAATGTAATAACTCAATAAACGTATAATAAATAACTCAATAAATGTAATTTAACTCAAAGAACACCTGTGAAGTTATGCTTGAAAGTTGTGCGTTCATTGGAAATAAACCAAAACAAATTTTGTATTTAATAATGACAAGACACTCTACTCTCACTTTTGGTGTCACACCCTTCATGTTCATCAAAGTGCTGCTCTTACCGTTGGTGCTGTATTTGGTGCAGGTCTTTGCTCAGGTGCTCGGCCTTCTTCTCTGGCTTTTACTGATTGAAGAATTGCAAAAATATTCTTGGCAAAGTTCTGAAAAACATATCGGATACCCATGAACCTTGCTGACTATCTGCATTTCACATCACAACAGCACAGGTCGAAGGCACCATTTGATTAACTTGCGCTTCACAGAAAAACAGAACTAGTGCACCGATTTTCTGAACAGACACTTTCTGATTACTCTTCTGTGACAGGATCCCAACATAAACAGAGTTTTAAGACATCACTGCTACCCTGTATTCTTTAAGAACCAAACTTGCTAAATCTAACTGGCTTCATTACACTACAAGCTAAACAAACCAAACTCTTCACAAAGCGCTTGTAATCTCCTTATTCCCCCCCAACCTACCATGCCCTCACAGTCCTCTTGGAACTCTCTGTGCTGTAGCAAAAAAGAAAAACTTTTACTCAAGATTTCCAGGACAAGTCTCGTCTGTGAGGCCCAGGTATATACCCACTACTGAGAGCCTGTCTGCTCACTTTTGGCCTCCTGATGCCATGTCTGGGGCACAGTCTCTGCCTGCCTTACTCTGCGCTACAAGAACCGTTCCTCCACCCAACCACGCTCAGCTACGCTGGGGGAACCGAGTCCCTGCGAACCCTCGGGAGGCTTTCCCTGATCCCGCACGGAGCAGCGGAGGCAAGGCAGACAGGCAGCCACCTCCTGCACTTTCCAGCAAGGCTCCTGGGCAGAGCGGAACACACTTCAATCGTTCTTCACAGGCACAACCCCAATGCATTGTGGTGCAGCTCTTTTAATACTTATCTTGAACTACAACTTCACTCCATTTGGCACCAAGTATTTTAAGCAGTAGAGCCTTTCATTTTAAGTTGGAAGAAGCAAGTACAGAAATCACATTCACAAATCCTTGATTCAAGAGTGATCCAGGATAATTCTAATAACTTCATGCAGTGTTTTGTCAGATAACCAAGTCATTGAGGCACAACCAAATAAATTCTATTGATCAAGGTTTTTAAAACACGTTCTTCCTGGTAATATTAGTAGGACTGCTTTATTCTAAACATAACATAAATGTTAATTATACCTTTGAAAGGCGTATGCTTATTGCATTACCATTCAACAGGCATTTTAAGCTATAGAGATATGTGTACACAATGTCTGTCATTACTGTCAATTTTCAGTAATGGTTCATCAGCAAAAGAAACCTTTTATCAGCTAAGGAAAATGGCTTTTTCACTGGTTCAGAATAGTATAAAGTGTTCATAAAATGCTTAGATTCTTGCAGAATATTGTATACTAACACTCAAGTGGTGTTAATTAACACTACTGGCATGCATTAATTACAAAACAAAGACTTCTGGGGTGAATTTGGTAGAAATCATTTAGAGAGAGCTGTAATGCAAAGCTTCTCTAAGCTTGTTCACTTGACCTCAGTCAGCATGTTGTCAATCTGCTCCAAGCCAGAGCGGCAGGAACTGGGAGACCACCAGAAACCACTTATAAAGACAAAACCCATTCCTTGAGCAAACCTAGTTCTTTTCACAAAGACTGAAAGAACTCACACAAAACTGTACTTAAAGTTCTTTTCAGTCAGAAAAATGGGGGAGGGGGGGAGGGGTACTTTAAAGAGCTGTGAGCCATGCACATAAAAATTATACAAGAACACTCAAAATCAACTCAGTTCTTCAGGAAATCAAGTCTAATTACATGCTTTTACTGGAAATTCAGACATTTCTCCCAAAATGTGGACCGGGTAGTTTATCAATCACAATTCTTGTCATTGCTGTGCTTCACATACTGTCTCTTGGAAACAACAAGCTACTCAGTCTTCTGAAATTCAGAAGGAGGAACTAATTAAACATCAAGAGGAGGAACTTAGTAAGAGTGATTGCCCATGTAGAAGCCAAGTCTTCTTTCAGTCACAAGGAAGCTACAACCAGCTTTCACATCCGCATTTCATTCATAAAACCTACAGTTAACATGCTCTTAAAGTGAGCTTAAATTTCAAATTCCAACATTTTTTAAAGGCATTTTAACATCTCAGAAACTGCATGTCCTGGACTGAATTTTTAATTCTTTCAGGTAAAAAAAACCCAGGAGTTTCTCTCATCTGCTGAAAAGAAGTTGTTAATAAGCGTGGAATTACAAAGTGTTCTTGCTGATGTCTTTATTCCACAGTATAAAAATGCAGGTACCCCAAGGCCACAACTAATATAAGTTTGGGAGGGGAAAAAACAGCACCGTTTTAACAAGCACTTGAATTAATATCATAATCTTGCTGTTCATTGGCTTGGCCAGAGATGTGGGAGTACTTTACTGGTACAGAAAAGTGATCAAGCAGGAAGTCCTCTGCAGGTACCAACTGATTCACAAAACCCTGCAGTGTTGCAAAAAAAGTCTGCATTGTTCATCCCTTCAGAGATCAGAATATGAACATCCTCTAGCTTCTGCCCTAGATTCAGTTCAACTTAATACCAAATACAACATTTGTATTACCAAAAACTTCTGATCTGGGGGGATGGAGCAGAGAGAGAAAGCAAAAACAAAAAACCCCCAACTATCCTCTGCACTGTCTTTAAAAAAAAATTGAACATGCTTTAAAAATGATGTTTAAGAAAATTCACAGTATGTAAAAGGACAATTCTATCAGTTCTTGTTGTTAGCTGCCTAGAGTGCTGCTACTCTCATGAAAGCTCTCTTCATTGCTTCCAAACAAGTCTACAGCGAATAATAATTCAACATGGTGCAGGGGTAGGGGACAGGCA